TGGATGGACATAAACCCCAAAAGAGCTAAGTCTTTAAGCTTAGTCTCAGGAGTATCTTTCTTTTTTTCGACAAGTTAATTAAGCAAATGGGCAGAAAAAAAATAATGAATTTGTGAGGTGGTCGGGAGGGGGCGGTAGGCAGCTTGGGGGACTGTTAGAAAATGCGCAAAAGATAAGCACGAAAGCAAAAAAGCAGAAAAACTGCTGTGGCACGCCAAAAAGAAACAAGTTTAACAACTTTACTCTCGGCTTTTAGAGTTGCCAGACCGCTCAACTAAATAGGGTTTAAATGGGGAGTCTCTCTCTCTCTCTGTGTGCCGTGACATAAGCAACTTTTACTGTTAGAAATGGGGTTTTGGAGATGCGAAAGATGCGAGAGGGTCATAAATCATCATAAATCCCCAAACAAATACTCGTCGCTTCGTTTAACTTCAAAAAACACTGCCTTGCAATTATTATTTATTTTCCTGCGTATATTTACATCTTAGATTTATTGAGCACTTTGATAAAAAACTTCACTTCACATTTTGTCGCCGCCGCACGTTTGGGCAATCAATTTTTTTTTTGTAATTTTTCTTGAATTATTGCACTTTTATATATTTATGTATTTTGTTTAAGTAGCGTGATCTTGTTGTTAGACTTTGTTGTTTCTATTTAGGATCTTGGTGGTATTCCTGAATGGCACACGCGAACAACAACTAAACTCGAAACGCGATCCGCTCTAACCGCTCTGCGTTGTGCACTCGACGACGTCTCAGAAACAACTGAACAACAACGCATGCGTTGCTGTCTCAAGAAGTTGAGAACCCATGTCCCAGGGAGAGCAGCAGTGGGGAGCCCTCTTCAGCGAGAGAGAGTAAGCCCCTATCGAGCAGCTGTGAGCATGCATAGCAGCTGAGATCGAGAGAGTGGTGTGGAGCTGAGTGGAGCCCAGCAAAGTGCAAGAGAGATATGTATGTACTTGTTGTTGTTGTTGTCTAGGCAAATCAATGAGCACTTGTGCACTTGGCCACTCAAAATTACAGTTAGAATCGGTGGAACATGAGTTATATGCATACCGGAGAGTGCCAGACTTGCAGAAAGAGTGGGCAGTGGGGAGTGGGGGGAAAATAATTTCTTAAAATAAATTTCAATGTTTATTTAATTTTTTTTTAAGGAAATGTGCAGTAATTTCTCTTGGAGTTTTTTTTTTTTTTTTGGACATCTCAACACACACATAAAAGAGGGATAGAAAGTGATCAGGCCAGAAAGAGACAACAAACAAAGGGGGGACTGCATCTTTTTGGCTGGCAGCCAAAATGGAGTTGCCCATGGAGAGAGACAGCTGGAGAGCGAGATGGCGGCTAATATCAATTATAAGACGCAATTAGGAAAACATTTTTGGGGGGGAAAACAACAACAACAAACTTCAGCAGGAAAAACTTGATGTACTTCAAAAAGAACAATTTTGGTTTTCCAAAAATAACAAAAAAAAAACAAGGAAGAGGAAGTTTCAGAGAAAAAGAAAACAAATATTCTAGAAAAAGAAAGGTTTTTAAAACTTGTTTTTTAAGCAAACTAATCCATCATAACTCTAATCCATCGTATAATACCTTTTAATCACCAGACTAACCGCTTTTGATTAACTATAGAAATTCTTTCGCAATTTTACTTGAAATTCTGCTAAGATTAGCATAACAAATCTTGTATCTCCATTATGTAATACATCCAAAAATCAAACACTTGTCAGATGCCAAAATCGTAGTCAAAAGATATTAATTGCCTGAGAAATTTTTTTAAGAAATTATGTATTTCCAAAAATAATTATTGCGTGGTCTTAAGGTAAAAGCTAAGAGAATAACCAAAGAGAACGGATGGACAAAAAAAAAAAGTTAAAATATATAAAAAAGAAGAAGAAAAGGAGTTGTGGTAGTAGCCCAGAACCCTCCTCTGGTTGAAGCATTCGAAAGCTCAGCTTCTGCTGCCGATTTCCCACGTTTAGAACGAATCACAACAGAACGCATCATTAATCATGGCAGGGATGACCAGAGGGGGAGGAAGGGGGAGGGTGGGGATACCGCAGTCAAACCGCGAGTCGGCCTAAAACTTTTCAAAAAAGATCCAAAGAACAGAATGGAGCTGAAAACAAGGCACATTGGGCAGGTCGAAGCCAGCCAGCCAGCCAGCCACTGAAGATGCATGAACCATGAAAAAAAAAAAGCAGCAGCAGCAGCCGTGGAGGCACAAAGGCGCGTTTCTTGTCTGGCGGATTGGTTTTCAAGAACGGGAACAGCAACCCAGTATATGCACTGGAAAAAAAAACTCCACTAAACCAAGTTAAACTATACTACTGCATGTATTTCGAACTAGATAGTGGAACTTTATAGTTGGAATTACTTTTAATCTCTAATATCCCAAGTTCTGAGACAAGTATTACATTATAATAGAACCTTATATCATATATTTTTCAAAGTGCCTTGTTTTTGGAAGTGACTTTAGGTGGCTCTTTCATGGTCAGTCACCCGGAGCATTTGGGATCTCTCCAGGAGACAACAAGGGGCACCTAATTATAATCAAATAGAGTGGGGCGTGGAGCTCTTCGAGATCAACTAATAGTGGAATTAATCAAATCAACCCGACAAAGAACCACCCCTTCAGTGGACCTGGAAGGAAGCCCACAAAAGTGAAGATCCCAAGTTCCATCCTAGTTTTCTGGCCAAGTTCATTGCACGTGCCTAGGCACACACTCGCAAGATACTAAGATACTTAAGCTGTTGTTGTTGTTATGGTTGTTGTTAACAACAATTGGCCCAAGCCCAGAGCCGAAATAAAAACTGGTTTTTTCGGTTGGCAGTTCTCTTGAGGTGTGCTCTTAAATATCGAACTGGCTGGATTTTGGGATACATCCGCACAGCAGGCTGAAACCGAAACCAGTTTGTGGCAAACTGGCCACTGGCCAAAAAGGAATCCTCCTCCATCCAGCCCTGCCAGCCATGGCCATGAGGGTGTTTTTTTTTTTTTTGTCAAAAAAATTAAATATAATTGTAAAGAATATCTTAAAGTTTTAGGTTGTGGCTTAGAAATCCCATTTCCCAATGCCCTTTCTTTATTACTTTCTCGAGCTGGCGGTACCCCAAGATAATAATCACAACATGAAACTATTTTTGAAGCACTTAAAACGAGACCCATAAATCTTTTGGTTTTTTTTGGTTTTTCGGGAATAGTGGAACAGAAACCGAAAAAAAAAAAATAAAATCTCAAGAAAGAGCAACGACATCGTTAAATTGCAGCTATGTATCTTTAGGGGTTTCTTCAGGGGTTCTACAAGTACTAGTCTAGCCTGATTATTTTATTTGTTTCTTAGGTTTATTACTTTATTTTTGGTTTCTAGAAAGAATGAGAATGAGGATTAAAATATTAAGTACCACTTATCGAAATCACTTTCTGGATAATTCCTCCTGAAAGTGAGCTTTTAATTCCAAAAAGGCCAAAATATGGCACGCGGCGAAAGTCAAAATGTTCGAAAAAAAGGATTCCATGAAACATAATTAATCTCTGATCTTAAAACGCAGTCTTCTGGAGGGGGTGGGGGCGGGGAGTGAAAGATAACCGCAGGAGAAAATTGACAGGCTAATTTATTGTAACGGCAACTGACAAGCTCCCGCAATCGCCGCCACAGTCATGCCACTTTCATTGTCTTCTTGGCTGATAAATGAAGATGAGGGCGACCTGATTTTTATTGTTATTTCCTCCAGTGGATCCTCCTCCACCAGTGACTTGCCGAAATTGGCAGACTTAACGGCAATTTAAAGTGACGCCTCTAATTGATGTCCCCAGTAGGAGTGTGGGGGAATCCTCATGAAGATATCACCAAAAGGGGGAACTTTGTTGGGCCCTAAATTCAGTAAAACTGTCAAACCATGAGACACACATGAGGCAGCCTGTTCCCATTTCAAAATCTAATCTGATGACATTTTATAATGACATCTGCGGGCTGTCGTCGGCGCGGAAATGGAAAAAGTTTTCCAACAATTGCAGCGGCCCCGGGGGTCAGGGGTTATAATAGGTGCATCAAAATATTTATGACAGCCGATGAGCCCAAAATCGTTGATAATACGAGCAAAGATTTTGGGATAATGGCCTCCAAAAAAAAGGTGTTTACATTCCCAGCTCACACATAACTATTCTCTTTGAAAAATATTTGTTTTCTGTTTTTTGGAAAGACTGTTTTTTGTGATTCGTTTATAAAAAAAGGTGTTTACCTAACCCCTTGCTGTTTTCCTGTATGTGGCTTTATCTCCTCTGATAACCAAAGGTTTGTTTTGGTGACTCAATCCCTCCAGGAATAATCTTTTCAGATCTAACGAGGCAGTCTCGTGAGGTTGATAATGAAAATAAAAGAAAAGTTCATCTTCTGGAAGTTTTTCAGCAAACTTTATTTTCCTCTTGAAACTTTTTAGCATTATTTGGAATTCGCACCTTGTCAATAGACCAACTTCGTGTCTGTATTTGTTCCGGCCACACACAGAAGCCTACAAGTATCTGCGTAACTCTCAGATACTCTTTTTCTCTATCTCCCTGGTCGAGCCTGCTCATTAACGACTTAGAACCCCGAAGAGCTGCACTTCAGACACGCACACAATGCCCAGGAAAACAAGAATTATAAAAATGGGGAGCCACTGCCAGTTGTGGCACCACAATGTGTCAAATAGGGCCTGACGACAGCCAGCACCAGGACGTGGCAGAACATCTGTGAGAAAAGTACCGAGGAATATGTGCAGATACAAAAGGCTGGATTTCAAGTGGGGCGGGCCATCAATTGGTGGCCTGGGGAACCAAGCAGCTCCCACTGTTGACAATGACATTTGCTTGACACTGCCAGGAAGCCTCCAGTCAAGGCTAGCCTCGAGAGGTCCTTCAACTGGAGGCAGCTCTAGGAGTGCGAGGTAATATTAAAGACTACATACTTAAAGATACAATTCTTATTTTTTATTTAGTTTGAATTTCATTATTTTACTTACTTGGATTATTGTTTGCTTCACGCCAGTGGGCTGCAGCTCTGCACCCGAATGTGGCACGAGATATCCCCTTGCAGCAGCTCCACTTCTTTCCAGACCACAGGCCTGGGTGATAGCGATACGATTTGGGGGTATTGCTATCTTCACAAACTGAAAAAACAGGTTTCAAAAATAATTATTAGCATCAAGTATAAAAAAAATATTTGAAATATAGAGTACAAATTATTAAAAAAAAAAAAAAAAAATCCTAATCCTATAAAAATCCTTAATCCATGTCGCTATAATTCGACATGGCTTGAATTTTCTCGAGGATACCCTCCAAGATATCACAAAAATGCATAGAGCCACGATATGGCCCCCAACGAAGGTGGTAACTTTGCCAATGTTCATCCGATTCTTGAGCGGAATACCTTAAACCATTTGTAGATCAATTCTCCACCAATCTGCATCAAAATCTAGGAACAAAATATTTTTTAGATTTTTTGTTCAATTTTCTGGAGGATACCCTTCTAGTTTGTAGAAAAATCCATGGAAAATCTCCCAAAAAATTATTTTTTAGATTTTTCATCCAATTTTCTATGAATACCCTTTTATGTTTTGGGGAATGTATGGGAAGGACAATATGGGTTACAGCAATGGCTATTTCTTTGCCAATATTGATCCAATTCTTGAGAAGAATACCTTAAAAGATTCATAGATCGGTTCTCTATCAAACTGCATCAGTTCTCTAGCAACAAATTATTCTATAGAATTTTTGTCAATTTTTCAGGATACCCTTTAGAAAATACAACCCCTTGTGAAGTCTAAAACTTTGTCTTCAATTCGATTCTTCTAAGGGAGTACCCAAACCCTCGATTAAAAAACGCTCTTTTTTTTATCTCCCAAAATCGATCCGGCACTAAAAATAAGACATCTGCAGTTCTCCTCACTTTGTGGGTCACAAAATCCATTGAATGAGCTGCTTTTACCTTGGCGGATGGCGCGGATCCACTCGGTGCGCTCCTTTTCGCTGTTGGCGATCACGTAGAGTGTGTACTGTGGCACCGCTCGTCCACTCTGCTGTTGGCCCTCGACTCCTCCGCCCCCGCCGCCGTTCTCCAGCTGCTGCAAATTCGACGATGAAGAGATCTCACAGTAGCCCACTTGGAATGGATAACCCTGTGCGAAAGATTGTTAATGAAACTCGGTTGGGATTTGGTTTCACAAAAGATTTCTGGCTACTCACATCCGGTGCAAAGGGATCGCCGCCCTCCCCGCTGACAGTCGCCTCCTCCACGAGACGAACGCCCTTCAAATGGATACGACCGCGTTCCCGTCTCCGCTGAAATTGAGATACAGATAGATAGTTTAGATAATTGCAATTAACTTGGGGGGATTTTAAACTAATTTCAAGTAGGGTGTGGCCAAGAAAAAACTAGTACTAGTGGTGTCTATAAAGCTATAGAGTAATATCATCTATAAATATAAAGAAACTTTCTATGATGGACTTTAATTCGATTAATAAAAGTAGTTCTGCTCTAATTATTTCTAATTAATTTCCTCAGATATACGGATGGGTTAGACCTCCTCTAATAGACTTCTTCAATCATCATCATCATCAGGGCCATTAGCTGCCTCATGTTCATCGCCAGTCTCGAAATCATCTCGAAAGCCTCACACATTAGCAGATTTTCCCTTTCCGTCTTTCAGTTTCGAGTGCGAGTTTCAATTTCAGTTCTCAATTGGCCGACAAGTTGGCTTTTCCTGCCTTGGAAGCAATTTTCCATTTTATTATGAATTTTCAAGTTGTGCTGGCTCTCCATGGTTCTCCATGCCTTCCTGCCCCAACCCATTGCCTCTATAACCCAAATAAAGTTTGGTTGTGCTTCCTATAAAGGCTTACTTTTCAGAAAGCCCTTCATGGCCCTAAAGGGAAGTTCAATTTCTTGAATTTCAGTTTTGTATTTTTTTTTCCTCCCTCGGTTTATGGTTTTTTCTCTTTATTTTTTTTAAGTTGCTTGTTTATTTGAGGTCTTTGTGTCAACGCTGGTTGTTGATGAGGTTTTTATGTTGCCTCACATTTCTTTTTTTTTTTTTTTGTTTAGATAGATTTTGTTTCTGGGTTGCTGCGATAAGTCCAGGGGCCAAAAGCCAACCCGTCATCCAGCGCAACGTGCTTATCTCACTCTACGAACTGCGTGTGTTCCCAAAAACTTGGGCCTTTGTTGGCCCTCTGACTCAATTAGGCCAATTAAGTTGACTTAATTGAGCTGGCAGCGCTTTCAGGTCTTCCCCAAAAGGTCTGTTGCATCGTCTTCCTATCAAAGTTCTTCAGCCATCCTTAGACTGGATGCCCCCTCCATGAAAAGGTTTCCGTCAAGTGTCGGCACACGTGCAAAAATTACCCCTGGCGCAAAAAAAGGACGACGTTGAAGTGCCTTCAAGTGGAATGCCAGGACGAGGACCAGGAAGAAAAATTTAAATGCCAGGTAGTACTTTTTTTGGGCAGCCAGTTGAGGTACATAGTTTATTAAACCTGTCAGCGGTTCATGAAATAAAAAACTGCTTGGATGATGGAGTATGAAGCTTTTGAAACCTTAATCTATATAAATAGACTAGGTTACTTTATAGGCCTTTATGATGAGCTAATATAGCAGCTCTCTAACTACTCCCTGAACTAAAATTGAAAAAATTCACAACAAACAGAGGAAAGTAGAGGAAAATATAGTCCGACAGCTAGATGACATCCGGCGTCTGTCAGAAGTAGCCCATTTCAACCCAGTTTCAGTTTCGGTTCGGCAGACGATGCTTCCTGAACACGCCAAGCCAACCAACTGGCAGGAAAAACCATCCACAAGCCGGGGACGCGAAGGAGGAACACGTCGTGCCACTTTCTCGTGAATAGCCAACTGAACTGAACTGAAATGGAAGTAGAAATGAAAAGTAGAACTGCATAACTGAGACTAGATGACTAGTTATGGTTTTCAGCTTTGATAACTTCAAACAAAGTTCTATGCTCCCCCGGAGGGGCAAAAGGTCAACGAACTAGAGGCCAGATACAAATGTATCTTTGCATCTGAAAGGTCTGAAACGTTGCAAATGTTGAGCATATGTGCCACAAACATGTGGCATCAATAAGCGAAATGAAATTGCAGCAGCTGCTACTGATTTTGGAGTGAAAACGAGCTAAAAATTGCCGCCAATTAAATGAAGATTTTTCAAAACTGGAATGGAAATCCAGGAACTGGTTTTTGGCCAAATTCTGGAAACGAAATGGAAAGGCCGCCTCCGAAGTGAAAGTCAATTAGGGCAACATTAATCAAACTGATTAACTAAATGCAGTTAAGGTTTTAAAGCCCCGAGGGTCTCGAAAAGAAATCTTAGGTCTGTGGTGTTGAAAGTTCTGGTTACTTGGGAGAACATGTCTTCCTTGAGGCTAATGGTTTAGGACGTTAGGAAATGTTGCTGACATGGGAAAGCATTATTTAATGTTAGTCCGAGTTTACATAATTACTCTTGGCTTGTTGGTCTTTTCTGGCAAATACAACAAAAAGGTAACACAATATGCTAAAAAGGACAACAACAGGTTGTGAAATACGAAACGCACCTGTAGGAAGGTGCACCCAGTATTTTAATCCCATTGTTAGCCATTGTCGCGGGTTACCCGAAGCAGGTCCTAATGGGATGGCAATCACCTGTGCATAATTGAGAGAGCTGTCACAGCAGAGGAAGGCGGCAGGCCTCAGGTAGGCAGCCGGAAAATTCATAGAAAGAAAGGACAGGGACCTGGAAAATTGAGAGCCAGCTAAGAGGAAAACAATTAAGAGAAAATTGCCATTGCATTGAGGGTCAGAGTGGAATGGGTTGCCGGAGCAGAGCGTGGAAAATGAAACGATAATTACGAAAAAAAGTGAAGAAAAATAGAAGCAAAGGAGGTGAGTGAAGAAAATTCAATTAAAAATAGAAGCAAATTTTCAAGAATTGCATTCATTTTTTAAATAAAAATTACAAACTAATTATTAGATTGGAAGATCCCCTCCACTGGACAGTTGAGACTCTTTAGGATCGCCCACTCTTCGCCAAGTGCATCCTCCAAAGACCCCTCCAAGTGATACCTTTTCAATGTTGATTAATGAAAGCCAAACTCATGCCTCATGTGGCATGTTAAGATGCCATTTCGAGCCGAACTTTGAGCCGCGTAACGAATGAAGAAAGACAAAATATGTTCCCTTCGATTGATCAAAGGTTATGGGGACGGCATCCATATGTTTTGTAGTGCGGGGGAACCCCCTGACAATATCCATGATTGATTGCAACTGGCATGGGTTGGGGTCGGGTTGGGGTAGCTCTTCTTTAGCTGACCGCATGTGGCGTGCGATTGAAATATCGCCTCAAATAAATTATAACTGTAATAAAGAGAGAAAACAAAATGCTCGAAAATGTGGCCCAAACGTAATGGTTTTTCAATTTCCCGGCACTCTCTTCTTTAATTATTACAATTTCACGCGTAGGAGCGTAGGCCGTAAAGTGCAGAGCGATAAATTTTAGTTTAAAAACGAGGAAAACCAGAAAGGAATGATTATTTTGAGGCGAAGTTGATATACCCTTGCTTTTAGGGGAAATAAGATAATACAGGAGGTATATAGTGTATATGTATATCGCATATAGTTTCCCTCCTATGACCTATGGTTTCATTATCAAAATATTTTTATAAATTTATAATTTAAAAAAGAAGATACAAGCTTTTATCTTCAAAATGACCAAAGTTATGGCATTTACGATTAATCGGTTGTATGCATAAAAAAAAAAAAAAAATTAAAAAAAAAATTACAAAAAAAATTAAAACAAAAAAATTACAACAACAAAAACTACAACAAAAACTACAACAACAAAAACTACAACAACAAAAACTACAACAACAACAAAAACTACAACAACAACAAAAACTACAACAACAACAAAACTACAACAACAAAAACTACAACAACAACAAAAACTACAACAACAACAAAAACTACAACAACAACAACTACAAAAACAACAAAAACTACAACAAAAACAACAAAAACTACAACAACAACAACAAAAACTACAACAACAACAACAAAAACTACAACAACAACAACAAAAACGACAACAACAACAAAAACTACAACAACAACAACAAAAACTACAACAACAACAAAAACTACAACAACAAAAACTACAACAACAACAACAAAAACTACAACAACAACAAAAACTACAACAACAACAAAAACTACAACAACAACAAACGTATTACAACAACAAACATATTACAACAAAAGGAAACCACAACATCAACCAAAGCTTACAACAACATATATAATTAACAATTACAACAAAAAAAGCATAAAAAAAGAAGACACAAAAATTAAAAAAAAACAACTATTTTTCCGCATTTTTGGGCCTGTTTAAGTGCAACCTATGAGAATCGAGGAGGAGGGCGCTATTTTTTAATTAATTTATTTTTATATTTTTATGAAATAGTTGCCAAATTAAATTATTTTTTAAAATGAAATCATACGCAATAAAATTGTAAAATGCGATGCTTTATTGCTATTTGACTTCTAGGCGCCCTTAACAGTAGGCAATGAAAATAACAGTGTTTACATTTTGAGATTTAGAATTTATAAAAAACACATGTTTTCTTTATAAATTACACACAACTTTAGTTAATCAAGAACATTTCAGGAATCAGGAATACACATACATACGAATATTGCATATATAGGATACATAAATGTGACAGATCCCTATAGAAATTTAAGTAGCTGATCAATTCTATATAATGTGATTTTCTTAAAAAGTCCCAGGCTTTTACCAAAATTGTAATACCCTCTGCAAGGGTATAAAAATGTAAAAAAAAAAAAAAAGACGGTCAACATAGGAAAATGTATGCATTTTTCCAATGAAAATGAAAATTTTCTTATGCATAACATTCGTTGGGTTCCCGGTTCCCAGCCATCAAAAAGGACATGGTTGGTTGACCGACCCGGTCCGGGGAGTAATTAATTTTACCGGCCAGCCAGCCAGGGGGTTAATTTGTGCCAAATCATGCCCTGTTCATCTGAACTGTCTTGGCCGCCAACTTCCTGTCAACAAAAGGCCCTGAAAAGCGTAATTCTCCCACAGAATTTGCATTTGCCAACTAAAATCTAGATTCTAGATAATATTTTAAAGTTAAAAGACTAACGCAGATTTTTTAGAGGAATTTCGAAATGAAAAATTTTTGGACAAGGTCTATAATTTTCAGACTGCATCCTGAGAAAAGCCATCAAAGCATGAACTGCGATTTCGCTGGAATTCCCCCAAAAACAT